TACTAAAAGAGAATAAATACAATAATTTATTTAAAATCCTTTCTGCCAGACTTATTTTCGTTTATAAAACATGTCTCTAGAAAAATCTCAATATTTCCACAGGCTCTAATGGAGGCTAATTTTAGAGCGGAAAAATTCCGTGTACCAATTAAAATCGGACTCAGATCGATTAAAAATATACTCGCAATAAAATAATCAAAAAGACATTTTAAATAACTGCAGCTATTCGAATGATCGACCTTGAAGTATGTCTTTTTAATGAGCCCTCGTGGCGCTTTCTATGTGGCCGTACAGAACGGGCGATACCTAAATGAACGGCAAAAGTGTCAATTTTAATTGACTTCGGGAAAGACTGAAGTGGGAGCCGCTTGGCAGCGTAACAACGTTTCAGCGATCGATCCTTAATTACCTGGAGTTTAATTAAGCTCTTACTTGAAACAGAAATGTCCAAACTTCCCGGAGGATTTGCGGGCCGAACAATGTGCCAAGTACAACGGGAGGAGCTACAAGGGCGAGAGCTACGATTGGGTTCCGTTCTTGGACGGTAAGCAAAAGCTGCTCCAAATCCTCTACTCGACAACTTGCCGTCGAAACGCGATGTTCTAATTACCTTGGTACATACGAACTGTCCTCAAATCAGCTACGTTTACACAGTAATAACGTCTTCTACCACAGGATGTTCAAAGAAAACCATTCGATATTTATACATATGGTACATGAGATATACTAAACTGGCAATAAGTAAAAATAGATTTGAAACTGAATTTTTAACAATGGAATTTATGAAATCTCTTCTATAAACATTGAAAACTTAGTGATAAAACAAACATTATTAGATTGAGATAAAAGTAAATAAGAATGCATTTATTTTATTTCTTATGTTGACGTTAGAAATATATTATCTTGTATATAATCTTTATATAATCTTTTGTAATATATTAATTTGTATTAGTACACAAGAACATTTCTATCTGATTAAATTTTTGACCAATGCTTATTAGTATTGTCTAACACAGGATAAGTCGCGGGATAACAAAACGATACACGATTCGTGATATTTTAGATTTTCTTATAATTATAATTACTGTTGGCCAGCTCCAAATTCCTGCGTGCTGAATTGCCGTGCGGTCGGCGAGCGTTTTTACGCAACGCTTGAACCGGCAGTAATAGACGGCACACCCTGCGACGCTCCGAATCTTCGTGGATATAATACCGGAATTTCTATAGAACGCACAGACCGATGGCTCTGTGTCGCCGGACAATGCAAGGTACGATTAATTGAATCGGACATAAATCCCCGTGCGTATCGACGCGGCGGAAATTAATCGCGGTTCCTCCTCGATACGATCGACTAAATTGGCCCGCGATTCTTTTTTCTGCCCTCTGCTTTTTCTTTCAATTACGACGCGGCTAACTAGTTAACCGTGTCCGTTTTGTTTCGCCTCGCTCGTTCCCCCCTCTCTATCTTTCTCTTTCCTTCTCGCCTGCCATTGTTCCGCGTTATTTCATCCCTTTGTTCGACCGTACGATATCGTCGCGCTTCGATTTCCCAACTTTTTCAGTTCGACGATCCTATTGGCGACCGGACACGGACGAAAATGTGGAAGTTCGCAGGCTCGTGCAAGTCAATCCACTTTCGAATGTTTGCCTTTTTTTTTAGCCCGTAGGTTGCGACGGTGTGGTAGGTTCTGGCGTCACGACGGACGCTTGTGGCGTCTGCGGTGGTCAGGGTAAAGGTTGTAGACTGTACGAGGGGATTTTTATGGAACCAATGCTGCCGCGGGGTCATCAACCCGTGACCACCATCCCGAAAGGAGCTATGTCTCTCAACATTTCCGAGCTGAAATTCAGCAGCAATTTCTTAGGTATTTGCGTTTCTTCACTATCTCCAAATCTGAAATTATGATTGATGAGTTCAGTTCATTGGCCACTCCAGATCCTTGCTATGACACGATTTCGTCGGCTGGGAGATTGTTTCAATTGCAGACTTTCGAATTTCTTTTCTCCTTTTATTGCCGAGCCTCGGACTATTTTCCCGTACAATGAAATAAATATTAGGAAAAGGTGCCCACGAACTGTAACGTTCTCTATCGAGTTGTTGCCTTTACCAACGCTCGGCCGAACGTTACGTTCTTCAGCGCTTAGCTGAATTATTACGTTTTGCCTCCCAGCCAACGATTTATTAAATTGTTCCCGCGAGTGAGTGGCTAACGAGGCGAACAGACTCAAAAGCAGGACAACACCTTTACATGACTTCGAAACTAACTTTTTTCGACGACCGTTTCCCAACGAACACAATCGGACGGGCGGCAGCTCTGAGAGACAGCAACGGTAGTTACATCCTGAACGGGCCGTCGGCTTACAGTCCAAGCGGCACTTATAAAGCGGCTGGCACTACATTAACATACCAGAGGGGTGATAGAAACCGTATGGAGTGTATCTTGGCGACCGGGCCGCTGAACGATTCTTTGCATTTAGAGGTACGCCCACAAAGACGTCTCTGATATCGCGACCGTTCGAATTTATTGGATCTCAGACCATTTTTTGCGCCGTCGAGGGCCGTCGCTCCCGATCGTATTATACATTAAGTACGATCTCTTGCGTACCAATTGTGTGTTTTAAATCTTCAGATTCTGACGCAGGAAATGAACCCCGGAGTGCTTTACAAATATATGATGCCGTTGAAGGAGGCACCCAGCGGCAGGCCGTTAATAGCACCGCCACTTTTGGCAACAGGTAACACGTTTTTAAAGGCTCTCCGACACTGGATCTCTTCGAATATTTTCGCATTCTTCCCACTTTGTACAATGTATGGTCTCGTATTATATTCTCTCTTTCTACTATTGTTTTGTTTCCATTAATTCTTGTATTATATTCTTACTTTCTACTTTAACCCTTGTATGATGTTAATTTTTTAAAAAAGTACAAATGGAATAATAATAATAATAATAATAATAATAATAATAATAATAATAATAATAATATTCTTCTGTCAGGATCCATCGATCGTGGAAATGAAATTCCTGATTCGGATGCCCGTGTCGCACTAACAATCCCCGCGAGCAGGATGTAAATATTCGAGTTTCTCATTAAGAATTAAAAAAAAAGGAGCCGGCATTCTTCATCTGTATTTTTAGATCCACTAATAAAGTCGATTTGTCATCGACGGTTCACGATCGAGATCGGACGTGGGCCCGTGACAGAGGTCGAAAAGAAGAAATGAAGCATTCGCCAACAACGGTAATGGCTGGTGATCAGCCGAAGTCGAAGAGCAAGAAGAAGAAACGATTACGATTCTCCTGGAAAATGTTTGGTCTGACTCCTTGCTCCAAAGACTGCGGTGGAGGTATAATTTCTCTATCTATTGCTTCATTATTTTACTACGAAATTTACGTCATTATCTGAGTTGCTTCGGTCTAATCGGAAGTCTGAAAGTTGTGTTTTAGATGAATATTTACTAGATCATTTAAACATTGAGTCATGTATCCAACTTTTGATATTATCTATTGTCTTATACATTAAATGTAGCATTTATAATTTCTGCACATTCAATTCTCTTATAATTGCATAAAATCCGCAGTCTACTAGTAATAATTATTGAATAATAAAGAATGATTGAATCGCCGAGAAGAATTATTAGTCAATTTTCGTTCTTCAGGTGTTCAAACGGCGATTTTAAAATGCGTTCGCGAAACGAATCAGATGATAGTAAACGAGAAACGTTGTCGCAACGTGGGAAGACCGCAGCAACCGGCTTCGTTGCGTTGCAACGTCAACCCTTGCCCTCCTAGGTAAAATAAATTCCCTGTGGTAAATCGGTTCCTATGTGCACATTGGAATCCGCAATTATCGTTTCAGATGGAGAGCCGAACCGTGGGGCGAGTGCTCGGTTACCTGCGGAACCGGCACGAGGATACGGACGCTGGAATGCGTGCAGGAGTTGAACGCGAACTTAACGATGCGAGTGGCCGCCGGTGCGTGTACGCAACTACCGGGCTTAAAAACCATGGAAAGCTGTACGAAACCGAGTTGCACAAACGGCCCGGAATTAAGGCACATGCACTCGCACCACGACACGCCCAGATGGGACGCCGGCGCCTGGTCCCCGGTAACGTTACTTCTTTCCCAGTAGCAGACAGCGTATTCGCGGCTGTCCTTTCACTTAGGAAATCGATTCGAGGCTAACAAGTTATTATCATTAAGCGAAATGGATGTCGACTCCCGCGGGTGAATGACGCATGCTGTTTGTGGGATTTCGTGATTTCAGTGCTCGGCGACGTGCGGAACGGGGGTCCAAAACCGAACAGTGACCTGCATTACATCGGGAAAGGCTTGTCCCGCGTCCGACAAACCAGAATCTCAGAAAATTTGCGAATCCGTACCTTGTACGGGTATCAGTCCGGAACAGCGAGCACCTTGGCTCTACTCAGAATGGTCATCTAAGGTGAAGTAGATTATACAAACGCAAACAGAATAAACGAGATGTGTCATCGCACGAATCATTGAATGTGTGCAACGTTTTGTCTTTTGCTCAGTGCTCGAGCGAATGCGGGAAAGGGGTGGAAACGAGGCAAGTGGCTTGCGCCGACGGCAGCGAGCTGTTCTGCAATCCCAAAGACAGACCGGAAACGGAGAGGCAGTGTTTCGGAAGGGAAACGAGCTGCGATAACGCGAAATGGTTCACCGGCCCTTGGACATTCGTTAGTAACTGATAACCAAAAACAGAATATCTCTCGTATCGCTCGTCGTCGAGCCGGTCGCTAATGAGTAAAACGACGCTAGATGTACATAGTACAAGAATCGACCGTGGTATCGTCTCGAATGAACATGCCGGACGAATATGGTTTCAGTGTTCCGTGTCCTGCGGGCCGGGTGTTCAATATCGAGAGGTCATTTGCATCGCAAGGACAGAGAACGAATTTGTCGTGTTACCGGAGAGCAATTGCAACGACTCGAGGCCGGCGAACGAACAACCGTGTAGAACGAGTCCGTGCACACCGACATGGTTTACCTCGGAGTGGTCGAAGGTAAATCGGCAGCTGAACCGAGGCCGAACCGGGCGGCAACGCGTGTAAATTTACGATCTAGCCGGGCCGACCTTACTTTTTCTCATTCTCGATATGTAAGTACCGATATAAATAGCAAGTTTGGTTTCAGTGCTCGGTGACGTGCGGCACCGGTTTACAAACCAGACTGGTTCGCTGCGTCCACCAGGGTGTCACCGATTCGAATTGCGAGGAAGCCGCGAGGCCGAGCGACCAACGACAATGCGATCTGGTCCCGTGTAAAAAAGACCATACACCTTCGTCGAGCAAACCACCGAAGAGTAAGTCAGATTATATGATTAATCCTTAACAGTATTTCTATCGAAAGTGTCGAAAGACCTTTTGAAATTTTCACTTGAAATTATTATCATTAAGTTAATCGTTCTTCCGCAATTTTCATCATTTAATTTTCGACTTTTGTTAAATGAATTAAGTAAATTTAACAACTGTTATAGGAAAATTTACAAAATTAATTTATACAAACGCATAAGAGAGTTTACCATTAATATACGGTTTGTATAAATTTAATTAAATTTGAATGATATTAGTAAGAAGTTAATGATAATAATCTTAAGCGGAATGTCTTTTAACGCCTTCGGTAAAAACAGTGATAATTGTACTCTAAATAAATAATTCTAAATAATTAATTCCTAATTATACTTTAAATAAATTGACGAATTTGGGAAAATTTCAGAAGCTTTGGAAGCATCGCCAGAGTGTGTCGATACGCAAGACTGCGCGTTGGTCGTAAAGGCCGGGTTGTGCCGGATAAAATACTACAAATATACGTGTTGCCGGTGCCGCGAATTCAATTGATATGGTTTCAGGTAGGAACCATTCGTAGCTACATGTATATTATATATAGTATACATATATATAAAAATTCGAACAGGTTTGTTCCTCGATACGAGGACCTTGACGAACGATAAGATTATTAGAATGAGACGACCGCATTACATATGTGTAACTTTATTTAACGCGATAATCAGTCATGTTCGCACATAGCTTTATTTCTTTTACGAGCTCTTACGCGATAAATAGTAGAACGACGATTATTTAATTCTCTTAAAAACGTTAAGCATAGCTGAATCGACAACTCGGGGTAAAAAAGAAACCGTAGGGTTCTGTTAAGGAGAGGACATCGTTTACACGAAACAGCATGATATGTCTGTCTGTGTTCCAGAGAATCGTATCGTGTGGCATGTGTGCACGCGTGTTACCTTTATAGATAACCTGTGTACGAACGGTCGTAGGGGCATAATTTCGTCAGTGCGTCGAATTTTACAGCGGATTATCATTGTTACGCTTCTAAATAAGTAACGACCGCGATTTCCATGCGCGAGATCTGCACGGCCTTGTGCCGGCAGTTAGATAGGTAAACCTGCGAGCTTTTGCTTGGACGACGGCGGCGTGCCGTCGGCGCGAAACAGAATAAAACGAGCTTCGGAGCGAGTTCTGTTCGGCTGTCTAGTACCGCCGCGGAAAAGGCGAGCAAAACGTGTCGAGCGATACGGTTGCATGTATGTACAGCTCGGTAGGTATTACTTCGATAGGTATAGGTTGTATTAGTTGAGAAACATTATTTATCCCGTCCGTAGGCCTGTACCGGGCTACGATTGATACGAGCCGCGGGTGATTTCCGTTATCGAGCGATTTAATTAACATATCGGGCCCGGCGCGACGCCGTGCCGAGTCTGATTTACGAGGCTGACTTGTTAACAAATTCATCCACGACGAGGGCAACCCCGAACCGGAAAACCTTGTATCCCTTCAGAGTTTCGTTCCTTTCTTGTTGTTCCGAGGAACAGGATCGATCGTTAGAAAAATACTCCGTGCATGTGCATCGGACTCGATAATCCCAAGAATATCGACGCGTCCGTCTATCCGTCGGTAGCTACGTATATGACGTCATAGCTACATACTCCAACAGCACTCAATTTTGCAGCAATGTTGCAAAAATATTGTATATAATATAATAATGCAAGATCGCAATATTTCAAACAATGTTGCTGCAGGATTGCCACAAATGAATTTCTGAAAGTACAGATGGTATTTCTATAATTCCTTTACGTTATAATTGTGATTACGATTATGATCTTCTTTATGATTAATTATATTATATATTCCCAATAATATCGATATAACAATTACATAAAAATCGTGTGAGACATTACTATAATGTTGCACTGCAACGTATAAATGCACTGTTGTTGGAATGTTGTAGCAATATTATACGACAATTGCAATGTAACAATGTTGAAGATACGTTGTTGCAATATTGAGTGCTGTTGGAGTACGTTCATATGTTGTCAACAGATCTGCCTATTCTGAAATATGCGAAAGTACCTAGTTGTAGCACAATAATAATTACAGTAATGATAACGACTCAAATGTACGCTTGTTTGTGTAGGTAGTATAGTAAGTCGCTGTATGTACACGGTATACTTAGAAACGAATTTAATTCTCGACGTCCTAACGAAAAGTAGCAAATAGGTCTTTCACGTTAAACGTTTAAGATGCTATGATCAATCGATGCTGAGCAAATCGCATGTACAGAGGCCTGGCATACGGACGTCGATTAAGTTTAAATAGATGTCATCTTCCAAGGATTGACAGACAGCAGACCTCGCGAAAACTGCGTCGGCAATCAATTCTCGGTGTTAATTAAATTCCGGCTCGCCTTCTCGACGCCGACGAGAACTCTGTGTATAAACACCGTAAAATACATACATATTTTGAACCGCTTTGTGTCCCTCAAAAAGCTGTTCTAATTTCTGTTGCGATCGCAATTCGTTTCAATAAACTTTCCGTTTCTTCTTGTATCGTTTCTTTAATTTACACCGGCTCGATTACGTCAGGTAAGTATGAGTTGCTGGAATTACTTTTAAGTGAGGCATGACACTTCTCAGAATTTTTTCTTTCTTCTCTGCTCAATTCCTATTCTGCTACCTTTTCTTCCTTGTCTACTAGATTATCGCGCGCATGTTCTAGTTACATATTATCAATTTAATTAAACGATTGGAGGACGCGGTTTGCATTATTAAATGTCTACAGTGTCTAAACGTTCAATGTATCTACAAAATACACATTTTTTCGTATAAGTCTATAATTGGTGCTCGTGGCTATGACGCGGATGATTAGCGTACATATTTTGAGAAAGAAACTTCTTCGCATATACGTACAGTCGAAACGGAAAAATAACGCATTCCAAAATGGAACAACTTTGTTAATGTCGGATACGAAACATACTTTTTTGTGAAATTCAAGACTTCATTTGTAGACTGCGCGTATAAATAAATATATATGTTTATGCAAATTCCTATTTTAATAAATAAAATTAAAGGAACAGAATATTATAAATTGTATTTTGCTTTAGATATTTTGTATTAATTTACATATTTCTGTATACTGTGTCTCTCCATAAATGTGTGTGTGTATCTTCCCATAAATATGCATGAACATCTAGTCTAAACATGTGTAAAAATTTTTATTGGTCGTACTCGTGAAGAAAGAAGTAAAGAGTCATTTTTTAATTTATTTATTAAGATCTCTAATAAAACTTCGAAATATCCCATTTGTCGGTTTAATCGTAAGTAAGTTGTGCAATTGCACAAAGTTTCATAAAAATCGGTGGAAGTATAAAAAAATTAGGCACATCGAAACAAGTAAAATTTCGTCAATTTATCCGTTTCGACTGTATGTTACTTATTATATTGTACGTATGAGTAAGTGCGGTGAGTAGCATAGCAAAAGAACAGAAAGAGAGTAGAGATGGAGTACAGTAAAAGCGTTTTTATCTAATTTAAAGAGATACATAAGATGTATATGTACATTTCTCCGTGTATGTACATATACATTTGCACGATCATTAGGATGTTTCTCTTTCTATGGATGAATAAAATCAATGTCAAAATCGGGGATGGATAAGAGTCCTATACGTTATTCTACTCATTTATCAAATAAAAAAATTGATATGTATCTATTAAGTATATATATTTTTATACGATTTCACTAGCCGCATGTATTTACATTTAATACATTTCGATCCATTAAAATAGAGGGTAGAAATAGTTTGTTTCTCTTCTGAAATTGAAATACTTTTAAATCTATCTTTAGTCATTAGTTTGTGAATAGAAGGTTGCATATTCTATTATTACATATGCTTCGAGACATGATTATAATGTCCGACGGCAAATGTGACCTCGTCAAAGACTGTGATACAATCGTAGTCTCTTGCAGGAGTGAATACAACGAAAAATAATTAAATGATTGTTATCGGTGTTAGGGGCTGTCGCAAGTCGAACGACAGCTCCTTAATGTCAATATGTATTTTGTGGTGTACGAAGACTGTCCATAAAAAAAGGAGTTTTCATAAATCTCTTTCCAGAATTATTGAAGATAACAATACCAAATGTTATCTTACATTTACTACCTGTTGGAATGTTTCTATGGCCAGTTTTGTGAAAACTTCTTCCCTTCTAAGTTTTCATTGTACTTCCGAGAAGATAGGGTATATAGACTGATCGTGAAGGATCGACGTTCCGCAGCGTACGTGAATATTACGTGTTTAAACGTGGATGTAATTTTAGATATTGTTTTCAATAATCGGATGTGTGTATGTATATCGAACACCTGACTTTGCTCAAAAGAGACTGAAAATACGAAATAATGAGATACTAGAATCGAGCTTACATACGAGGGAGACATTGAATCAGATTAAAGTTTGTATCAGATATTTAGTAAGACTATGTTTCACGTAATTGTGATTAAAATTTTGAGTGTCGTTGATGTATCGGCGAAAGAAAAGTTGAGTGTTTGCTCAATAAAAATAATACATACGACCATGAAAAACTGGAAAGAATGGTTTATCTATGGGACAATTGGGGGACATTGTTCACATTCATTCTCGTATTAAAGATAAAAGTTTATTAAGGTACAACATATAAATATATAATATATATAAAACAAATTACAAAAAAAGATATACGCATATAAAGATATATTAAAAGATGCTACGAAAGATACTAATGCGAACTGTTTACGATATTTATTTGCTTTTTCATTTTAAAGCAACATACATATAGAAACGTACGGAGCATTAGTGAAAACGAATTAATGTGCGGATTAGTCGATTCCGTTGTTCAAGGATACACCTTTTCCGGTCCACTGTTCTTTCAATTCCACTTTTAGTCCTAGGTCTCTCAGAGCCGCTTTCACGTCACTCTCGATCTTAGAACCGTGTAGTTTAAGGGCTCTCGCCAAGACATCCTCTACACCATGAGCAATAAACTCTGAGCATTCCATCTTATTTCTAACAGACATATTTCGTATGGCCCAAGCAGCTTGTTTCAAAACACTCAAGCTTTTAGGGTAAGCCTTCATTGCGTCAATGATTACAAGCGGCGCTCCGCAATCGTAAAACACGCCAGCGTTCGAGGAGCATCTCAGTGTTAATGCGGATATGCATGCAAGTCCAGCAGTCACTACACACTCAGATTCCTATCGTGTGATCAATGAACGTTTGAATACCAATTCTTCTTAAATACTCGTACGCAACGTTTTAAATAGTTCACAGCGGACATGTTTCACAAAAAGCAATATCGGATAAATGCTAACTTACTCTAAGTCTACTTATCGCGGAGACGATTATAGGCCCACAGCCGGAAGTTATGATGTCCGATTTTACATTGTCATTTCCAGCGAGAGCTTTCAATAACTTTAGAGATTGCCAGTTCAATTTCTCCGAATCCGGGTATTCGATCATTACGTCTACGACGAACTTCAACCCACCGGCATCTTCTACCTCCTGACAAAACTCGTTCCTCACGATCAACGCAGCTAAAGTTATCATCAAATCGCCCACGACCCCTTTGTCTTTTCTATACCCTGTATGCAATGGACTGCATGAATTAAGGTTTCATCTTTAAAATATTTTTTAAACAACGAATCGTTATTTACTTGGCATTAAACCGGTGAGAACGTTGAGTGCCCCTTTTGCAATTACACTCGCATGCTCATGAGCTTTCCCATATTCGTGCCTGATATCATCATCTAACACCAAGGCTCGGATCACAGCGCAAGCATCTCTTATTTCAGGTCCTGATGCATTGTCCCTGACCAATATTTTCTTCAATTTGTTAAATATATCTGCATTAAAAATACCCTGTCTATTGAGCTCGTGTTTTATACAACATTCCCTTATCCACCTCAAAAGACACTGTAACGTTGGAATGTCCGGACAACTGTCTAGAATTCTAACAATTTGGATAATGTATAAATATATATCTTCTGTAATATTGCGTATTGGAGGTAGTCAGAACTAATAATAAGTCCTTACTCTATTTGCAAGGCAATTCCCTCATCATCCAGTAAATCCGGATTACCATTCATCAATGAACTAATAGTTCTCAGTGCCGCCTTTATTATTGTGGTATTATTGATACAAGCTTTCATTAATTTGATCAAAGTTTTATATGCCCCCTTTTTTCCTGCATACACTCTGCGTGAAATATCCTTGTCTAGTTGTTTTGTTAATTTGTCTAAGACGTGATGAATGCTTCCATAATTCTTTTCTTCTAAGGCAATGTTAATTTGATTCAAACAAGATGTAATTAATTCATTGTCATCGTTCAGAATTAAATCCTTAATAATGTTACTCAAGTCTACACCCTATAAAAATAGAATTGATAAAAACAACCATGGCACAATGTGTACTTATGTAACGTGTTCTAAATTCCAGTATTCTTGTGTAAGATAATAGCGTCTAATGAGTGAAGTAAATTTTCTATTACAATAATAATAATGTTTGTAAGTGCCTAGTGACATGAAAACAATAAGAGTTTGATATTATTATTACAAAACCACATCCTTATAATGAAAGACTTTACAATAACAATACGATTGATATTCATTTAAATTGACACTTAAAAAATTTTTTTGTCATTACAACATTATTTAAAATTTTCAAGTCACTTTTATAATGACACATAACTGTCACAGTTGATATTCGCAATGTTTAATTAACAATTTTCGACAAATGTTTGTGTTATAAAAACAGAAGTAAATAAATGGAAATACCTGTGCTTCGAATTGTTTTACCGCGTCTCCGATGGCTTCCTCGGGAGTCATCGAGAATTGTTCCATATTCTCGTTAACGACTTCATCATAGGTTTCTTGACTAATCACGCGAACCATGGCAATGTTGTACTTTTGTTCACCGTGTCCCGAATCTCTATATTAGGAAATGAATGCTGTCTTGGAGGATGCGAGAGACGGTGTACGGTGTACCGGGTGTACGTACTCGGTTCACGCGCGATGGCAAAAAGGTAAATGTCAATCTCTGTCGCGTCGCGGATCGCGCGGTCTTCTCCTAGTTCTCCTAGCGAGAAGAAGAAGGAGTTGAAGGAGTTGGAGCAGAATTGGAGTCTGTGACTGGTGAGGTGAGGACGCATCTATAGGAATGAGCGGCTGTCTCTGGCAGCGGTAGTTTCCCTCTAGTGGCGACAAGTAAATTCGAACAAGTAGGTGCCTCGTCTTGATAAATGTAATCAACGATCAATCGCAGCGCCCTCAGCTGCATCGCCTGGCCTAACCGTGTCCGTGCGTGTTTGTACGTGTTGCGATTAAGAGAAACAATTCTTTGTCATTTACTCTTCTGTCTTTCGAAGTTTTTCCGTCGTTCCGCCGATAGCCGAAGCTGAATACTTGGAGGATCCGATGCGCGGAAGTATGTAGGTAGTGTTTCTGATATTCATTCGCCGAAAGACTATCTGTATTTGTCAAGCCTCGCGTTCCTGCATCCCCACCGATCACTACGTCGAGTTTCTTGCCCGTAAGAAGCCTAATCTTCCCTGGATTCGCTACTAAGCGTTGTGTACCTTCGCGTGCGAGAGATGCGGCTACGTACGATTGAAAAGAAAACGGTTCGTCATAGTCGGGGGAATAGCGATTATTTACTTAGCAAACTTTCGTAGACTGTAACTGCGCGAAGGCGTATGCGGTCTCGTTCGATTTAAAGCGTGTAGATGAATCTCCATGTGATTAACCCGAGTTATCGTAATGTTTACGTTCGTATTTTATAGTGTAACGGATTATAAACAAATTTAACGGTTTTACGGTATTTCAGTGACAATGATAGATCACTTTTATTAGCTGCTATGTTGGTTGCTTTCATTGTATGATCTTCATTTTTTTTCATTTGTACAAAACAAAAATTCAAACGCGAGTAGTTCTGAGTTGACCACATAGTTATAATATTATCGATGTAAATGAAAAGGTTTAAAAATCTTCGTTTATGTTACAGGAAGTGCACTGGGATTGAAGGGTGTTTGTGGATATGAAACGGCATGAAACAAAGATCCAAATAAAAGAAGTACATTTGAATTGTGGATTTCCACGAAAGAAATGCGAAGAAGAATGATGGAATCATGATGCATCACACTGTTGTGCATGACTAGTTATCATTGTGTTCATATCAAGTTACTTTGATGGATTTTGGGTGTTCACGAAAACCGACGCTCTCAGCATCATTGCAGTTCATCATTGTATTCGTTGCTGTATATACATATACACATATATATCTATATACACACTATACATATACATATATATATATTTATCGAGCAAGATTTTTAAATATTATTTTATCTATACATGTGAATAGCCTTAAACAAGAGTTACTGTAACGTTTCGATAATTGTTGTGCCGTTCGATGTAATCGGTCGAAGAATCAAATCAGTTCCACGAGGAGATATTCTTTTGCTTGTAAAGGGATACATTGTTTAAACGATGCTCAAACAGTTAGAAATACTCTCAAACAGTATGCATCACACGCGGAATAAGAATCAATGAAGTAACGGAGGCAACGTAAAAATGTTTTAAATCTGAGAAGAGGATGCACAACTATCAGGAAGGATTATGTTCTGTGATTCAACGTTGTGCAAAATTACTCGCATTCGCATACGAGGTACGACTGAGAAATGAGTTAACTCCAATATATTTTTCAATGGAGAACGCGAAGAGTTAATGTGATTCTAATTGACTTTGGACGACGTATACACATTTTCGAGGAAGGGGAGTGTTCATGTGCGAAAGCAACTGTAGAGCTAAGAACAAGATTTTGTACCGGTACGACCTTACAATTTCCCTTCTATATTTCAACGTTTATAGTTGAAAAATCGATCGATCAGAGATATTTTGTTTGCAGACACTACAGGTACACGTGAGCAATTCCTAATGCTGAAAGGAAATTTATCGCCGTATTTAGACTCTCATAATGAAGACGAGTCGTCTTATGTAACTCTCAGCAATGGGCCATACGGTACTTGATAATACATATGAAATATAGTAGAAAAAGCAGGTTGAAAATGTGTCTTAATCTATTGCTTCTGTTACAGTGTATCCAGCCGAATCTACTAACTCAAAACTCAGGAATAATCACGTTCTCATAGATATATATTTTTTAACTCCTGTCCTTTGTAAGCATTGTAAGTATTACATTAGCTCACGTATCAAATTTTTAATGACTTTATTTCATTAATTATCGTTACAGGTGAAGATTATGTGTGGGGCACTGGAAGAGTCGGCGTTAAATGCCAAGGTAAGTCTTCTCACTGTTTACATTGACAGAGATAATTGACTATGACAACATAAGTAGTCTTATGATCGTTTGTGTCACGCGTAGATCCATACAACGCGAAATAATTTTCCAGGCTCAGTTTTAAGCGATAACGCATTTAAACTATAGTTGAGATTAAATGAATCTGGAAGAAATACAGCTGAAATGTAGGATTCCTAATTTTTATTTCGAACATCTAGCTTGAAAATCGTATTGGGAGATTTGAATTGTTAGAAATTAAATGTGGAAATCAAGGCTCCTACGGGGCATTTAAAAAATCCGCGATAACGTATCCCCTCCTACCCTCGAAGGTAAATCAGGCGATAACGGGAGTTCATCATCGTTTCCCCGATCACCGTCGCAGGCGACACTGTAGCATAGTAACACATGCTCTCGCGGTGATTTCAAGTGGCGTGTTATCGTGTCCCCCTTCGCCTTACCTCGCGTTTGTTTCTAGCTCGGCCGGCAATTTCTTTTCTGAAACTCCACAACCCTCTCCTATATCCCATCTCCCCACTGCCGACGCTTTGCTATCGTACGACCCAGGAACGTACTTACTCTGACAAACTTTACCCTTATGTCATTTCAATTTTTACATTACGTTTTTTTATATCTGTCGAATTATCTCCGTTACGTCGGTCTATATCGGATCAATATTATTATCTTCTTAATGTCTATTAATAATATCGCTCTTTAATTGTTTTATTGCTAAGCGAGAATTAGATTATCATTCTTCCCAGCGTATTTTGTCGCAGTGATCTTGTAAATTTTTAATTAATTTATTTTCGTTTATTCGCGAATCTACTTTTGTTTATCAAACTCCAGTTAATTTGTATCTATCATCTCAATACGACCGATGGTGCACTAACGTTATACGCAACTCCAGAATCATTTCACGATAATTCCTCTACCATCGTGGAGCGTACATGTCCAATATAGACTACTCGTCACGTATGCACGGATACAAAATTAGCGAGCATCGGAGTAAATGAACAGAGTGTTTCTTCGTTCTGCGCGAGAGAGTAAATCGGTGTGCATGCCGACACCGAGCTATGGGCAAACATCATAGCCTGGCAACTACGCGAACGAAATTACTTATGTTTCATTGGGTTTCGTGCTCGGAAAAGAAAACTATCATTGTGCTGCGTGCGCGATGCCGAGCTCCGACCGCTCTCATCGGCGAACACTTTTTCACTTGCACAGCGGTGTCGCATCGGCAGTGGCGCAAACGTGCCACAGTACAGTAAGCAAAAATCTGCGATACGGCTGATGTAACCGCGATCACGCGTAATAAACTGCCAATCTAGGCACTGGACACATACGAAAGGTTCCCGTCAGTTTAGCGGGGCTTTAATCTTTCGCTATGCTCATCGTCCTAATCATTCAGGTTGATCGCAGTCGCGGTCCTTGAAGATGATCGGTGCAGTTGGTTACGTAGGTCATTTAACTGCGCTGACATGCTCGCCTACGTTTGCACTTCGATCGATCATCTATCTTCTTAACAGGAGGAACAGATTTATTTTCGATCTTTAAAATGGTCTGAAATAATACGATCGATCTATCGTGTTTCTTTAACAATTCTACTGTAAAATTCTTTTGATTCTCTATCAAGTTTGAATTGCACTAAGTAATTAATTTCGTCTATGCTTCTTTGAAATCATTTGGCTAGGATTCTTTTTCATGTGCATTTTACTTTCATGGAAGGGAATTGGTCTTAGTTTGAACAACTTGTATCCTTCCACGACCTACGTTTGTTACGGTATGTCCTTCGGATTTTAACTTCGAACGCAGGATGACTGTTCGTTCTCAGAGCATATTTAAAGATTAGCCTCTTGCCAAGGGGATGCATAACTTTGTTATTGAATTAAAACGTGATTCGGATAAATAATATTGTGAGGCGGTAGTGAAATTATTCTGTTCGACACCGAGCCTGGCCCGCAAACTGTTATTTAATATTCTTATCACGATTTCCTTTGCGGATCGTTACTGGTAAAATTAGACTTGTGCGCCACTCCCAATTGATTTCCGATAATTTATCGTACATAATTTGGACAGACGTTTCTTAAGTGCATCTAAAGGTCTCAATTTCGCTATGAAGTGGTGAATCATTTTTTTTTCCTTGCTATTTTGATTTTTAATTGGTATACGCTTCCTCATTATCATAAACTACGAGAACAAAAAAGCATCCGCTAGCGATGGAACACTCGCTCTTTGAAGGTGACACAAGCGATAAGCTTGAGGAAGAGCATCGCCTAACTTAGGTTTAACGATACGTTTTCACTACTCTCGGTCGACAAAGCGGGAGAAAACGATGAGGCATCAAGTTGTTCCGAAGGACAATCGAACGGGGTCAAAAGTCCTCCTGTTGCTACGTGAAACGAACGAAGCCATGGAAACGAGCACGTCGCGCAAGCGCTCAGCCCTTTTGCCGCTTTCCACCCTCTTCTCGTTTCCTCGATTTCCGCCTAACACGGTTGCTCGAGTTTTTGGGGTTCTTTTTTTTATTTAAACTAATCCGAGCCTCGAGTCGACGCGCAGTTTCGAGAAATCGAGAGAATCTCATTTTCATTGTCACTTAAGCCTCGCACTTTCACGTTCATTTAGTCGTGTTCGCCCGTGACTTTACATTATTCGCACAGGTATGCCGACCTTCCATCGTCTGATTTGTATTCAATCCGTTTATGGAGAACGCCCTGTACATTCTTATCGTCCATTTAATTTCCGTATCTCTCGCTGCTGGTCTCGCTGTATTGCTTCGATACGAGGTACGATGCTCCCCCCGATAACGGCTCGATCGTCGACGATCTTACGTCAAGTCGACCGGTCGCTCGTCT